TAGTTATCTTCTGCTTGGATGACCCTTATTCCCACGAGGTCACATTTTGTGAGATCTTTGTCTCCTGAGGAGTTATTGCACGCCTTGTGTGGTTTAACCTGGTTTCGATGTACCCATTTAACAGTTGGCTCTTTTTGGCCTTTACTGATTTTTATCTGATAGACAACTGGAGACAGTTTGTCTGTTATCAGATGGGGTCCAGTCCATCTGGGCATCAGTTTACGGGCGAGAGTTCCGGTCCCGGACTCTCTTCTCCCAGTTGTGGGGGCAAACGTGTAGTACCAGACCCTGTCTCCCACTTGGAGTTCCTCGTGAGAGGCCTTTTGGTCGTAGTACGCTTTGCGTCCTTCAGCTGATTTTTCCAGGTTTTTCTGTGCGAAAGCAAAAGTGTTTTTAAGGTGTTTTTCCAAGTCTTTCATGTATTGTTGTGTAGTGTAGGCTGTTGCCATGGCAGCATCGCCTGGTTGGTACAACAGGTGTAGAGGGAGAGTCATTTGTCGACCCGTCATCATCTCGAAAGGAGAGATGCCAGTCGATGTGTGTGGAGTGGCCCTTATGGCCATGAGGACCAGAGGGAGTTTCACGTCCCAGTCCTTGTGGTTTGCGGCTACGTATTTTTTCAAAATACTCACCACAGTCCTGTTTGCTCTCTCAACCTGGCCTGAAGCCTGTGGGTGGTAGCCAATATGGAAGTTGGCTTTGACGCCTAGCGTCTTCCACAGTTCTTTCATTACTTCACCTGTGAAGTGTGTACCTTGGTCTGAGTTCACCCTGAGGGGAAGTCCAAACCTTGAGAATACATGATTCATTAATAACATAGCAGTGGTTTGTGCTGTGTCATTAGGGGCTGGTAGACATTCTACCCATTTGGTAAACGCGCAGGTTACCGTGAGAAAATATTTATTTCCTCTAGAGGTCTTAGTGAGTGGTCCGACCCAGTCAATCTGGAGGTCCGACCATGGAAATGCAATGCCTCTACTATGCAGTGGTGGTCTGTGAAGTGGTCTGGATGGCTGAAACTGGCCACAAACCAGGCACCCTTTTATGTAGTCTTTGACATCCTTTTTCATTCCAGGCCAATAAGCAATCTGTTTTAATGCTTTCAGCGTGGCATCGTCACCCTTATGTCCTGCGGACGGAAGGTCATGTGCATGGACTAACATCACCCCCCTGTGGTCATGGGGGACCACGAACACAGGTGAGGACGTCCGTCCATGAGCAAAAGTTAGGATGCCCTTAAGTAGTTTTAGCTGTTTGCGCAGCTGAAAGAGGACTTTAAGGTCTGGATTGGAATCCAGTTCGCCTTTCGATGGAGTGTATTTGTTTGGGTCAGTCAGATACAGCATCATCGAGTTAATTGCAGGATCCAACTTCTGAAGTTGGATGATGTCTGGGTCAGTCAGCATTGGGCGTACAGAAACTGTGTTATCAGCAGGTTTAGCTGCAGCTTGTGCACGTGTGACTGCCATTACCTCAGTTGTAGCTTGTGACGACTGAGTGTTGAGTAGCCAGGAGGGGTCAAAGGACCACGTGGGTCCGTCAACGGCTCCTTCCTTGGCTAGGGAGTCTGCAAGGTCATTGTAGTGCTTGTCATCGCCTGGGACTCTGGAGTGTCCTGGAACTTTCTTCCAGAAGATCTGTAGATCATGTGATGTCACTAAGTGATCACATGTCATGAAAAGCTCTTTGTGTTTTACCACCTTTTTGTTGCTTGTGAGAAAACCATTCTGTTTCCACAGAGCGAGATGACACAAGAAACTAAGTCGAGCATAGTTAGAGTCAGTGCAGATGACTAGCGTCCGGATGGAGCGTTCCACCGCCATCCATAGGGCTATTAGGATTGCTGCTATCTCAGCAGTTAGTAGTTAGTTTACTACAATATAGCTAGTAAACCTTTAAACATTAGAGCACTGACAGCCCGTGTTGTATATTTTAGCTACTGTGGCTGAAGTTGCTGCAATGATGGATAACGTTACCACAGCTAACAAACACATAAATACTGTTTTTATTAACCTTACCTTGCGCTATATCTTGTAATATAACCTCTATAAATAAAGGTCGAATGAATGAAGTTCTGTTAAGTTTCCAGACAGGTCTCCCGAGGGAGAATAGACCCGGAAGTAATGATCCACAGCATCGAGTCAAAAAGGAAGTTGTCTGACGTCATTGTGAAAAGGGCCAATGCTGTGATTGCTAGTATCACTCAGCCCTCTGTGAGTAGTAAACAGCCATCAGGTGCTAATGATCCATTGTTATGCTGATGGTCCTTCTTGAGCATGTGATCAGCTGGTTTTGGTTGTCAGCAGCAAAACTGGTTGATCCACTCTGAGAAGTTGATATTTAAGAGACTGAGCTGAATACAGCTCCTCAGACTGAGGAAGTCCTCAGGATGAGAGACAAAGCATTTCTACATTTTATTTGTTTTGTTTTGCTGAATGTCCAGAGGACCAGATTGAACTCTTTTAGATATCCCGTAGACTCTACATGATGGAGGAAAAGACACTCCTGACAAAAAGGAAAAGTCATGGCCTATTTTTTTAATGGCTGATCTTAGTTAGATGGTTCAAATGTTTAATAAAACACAAGGTTTGGTGCAACTACGTTTTGATTAAGAGAAAAGGCAGCTTAAGTGTTTAGATTACCAGTTTCACAGGCTGTACCAGTTTGTGTTTTAAGTTTACTTTATATCTTATATTGAACTAAAACTTTAAATGTAATACTTAGCAAACTTCTTTATATACAGGTTTTCATATAAAAAATAACTATTATGTTTAAATCGTTTACTTATCTTTTAGAAAATCAGTTTTATTTTTGGAAAAGTAAATTAAAATAACAACCCCCCCCCACACACACACACACACACATTTAAAGGTCTAGGAAATGCTCAAACCACATTTCAAACTGTCCAAGACTTCATGAGATCTAGAAATGGGATTTACGGCTCTCTGAAGGGAGCTGGATCTTGTGGATCTGTTCCTTTTAAAGAGCTCTTAGGTTGTTTTCACACCTGATAGTCCGGTAGACTCGGTTCGGTTCGGTTCTGGACCAATATTCATGACCTTTTGTTACATTTGAGCTGGTGCGTTTGCATTCACACTGCACTGTGCAGTCGAGTCAACCTGTTGAACCAACCTGTTCCCCCGCTCGCCTGTGGGGGCGCTGCACCAAGAACTACTGAAAGAAACGACATAAAACCTCTGAAGACACGTTTTCTTCTGTAAATAAAAATAAAAACGAAGTGGCATCAAGTTTTAGGAGTTATATTTTGTTATTTTTCAAAAATGGACTCGGCATGAGCAGAAGATGAGACAGAAGACCATGGAGAATATTGTTCTTCACACAAGTCAGCTGACGGCTCCATATGAGGTCAGAGAAATGTGTGTTTGTTTGTCCTGTGGAGCGGGCCCGGTCTGTTTACATTCACACTGCACTGGAACCGCGCTGGAGTTCTCTTCTACCGGACCCAGACCTAGGTTTTAGCCCGGGCCAGAGTTCACCTTTTTGTTCCGTGACAGAGTTCGATGGCGCGTTCACACCTCCCTAAAGGAACCGGACTTTCTAGGAAAACGAGCTAGAGTTGGATTAAAGCGACTAAACAGGGCTGGTGTGAATGCACCCTGAGTCTACATCACAAAGCATGGCCGTACCACGACCAGTCATGCACCTCCAGCTCCTGTCCTGAGTGATTCAGGTTCATCACACAGAGTGAAACAGTTCAAGTCTTTGTTTCTTGTCCTTTTGGAGATCATGGCTTACAGATAATGAAAAACCGAAATGATAAGCTTCCACAGCTAGCTTTATCAGTGTGGGCAGGACCCAAGTCCTTCGGGAAAATGAAACCAGCATCCATGAAGCTCGTCAGCAACAGGAAGCATGAAGAGCTCTAAAATGTCCTGCTAGCTGCTGCGTGGACTTCAGAAAACCCAGTGGACCAGCACCAGCAGAGGACATGGACCAAACCATCACTGACTGCAGACTCTGGGATCTGGATATTCAAAGGTTTCATGTGAAAAGAGGACATTGGACCTGACAGTCCAGGTCTTTGTCTCCTCAGCAGGTAAGACGCTTCTGATGTTGTCTCTGGTTCAGCAGTGGCTGGACATGAGGAGTGAGACATTTGTAGCTCAGAGTTCATCAGCTGATCAGGGTGAGACACCAGGAGTTTACATCTTCTTCACAATATCCTCGTTTTCTGAGACACCATTTTTCATCATTTGTAACCCATAATCATGAAAATCACAAGAAATAAAGGATGGGAATATTTCACTCTGGTGATGAGTTTATGAGTTTCACTTTATGAAATGATTGACAAAATAAAATATCTAACTTTTTCACAACATTATGATGTTTTGAGCTGCACATGTCCACCACACCACAGCTGCTCCTGGCACAGCTGGAATAATCTTGGGATTGTGGTCGCACCCACATGAGCACGTTGTTCACGTGAGAGAAAAGGGACAATCTAAACCCACAGAGGTTTAATGGTTTTGTTAATACAGCATTTGTTCACAGTGTCGTGTTTCAACAAGGTTTGTGTTATTTGCCTGACAAAAGCTTTAAATGTGGCAGCCGCCTCTAACCACAAGCATCTTGGTCTCGGTACACGTTCCTCTGTAGACTCTTCACTGGACCAAACATCACATCAAACTGGCTCCACTTTACCTCCACCATACGATTCAGTCTCACTCATTATTTTCAATCTTCTCATTTAAAGCCTACACTTATACAACGTATGTTGATGTGTTTAAATTATGCAATCACATTTCAGACCTCGTTAATCAGATGGTACATTTTTAAAGTTGAAGGTAAAACTGCTTCAACAAAATTTTTGCTCATTTATTTTCTATGATGAACTTTAGGGTAAAAAAGCGTGTAAAATGTTTATTTCTAAAAACCGTGTCACTGAACAGACTTAACAAAAATCATTGTTCCTGGTTGAACAAATTAATCTGCAACAATCAGAGATTAAAGCGTGTCCAGCAGGATTAGGTGATCTGGATTGTGGTGTGGCGGCAGCAGACTGCCCCACTCTTCTTCATCAACCGAGACGCGTCCCCTTCAAGACTCCACTATGGAGGAACTTGTGCTTAAACAGAAGATGTGGCTGATCTCAGTTCAGCCAGTCCAAATCATCATCATCTTCATCATCCCCAAACAGAGGGGTGGGTGGAGGACGTCCCTTCAAGCTCTGGACACAAACAGAGAAGAAAAAAGAAACATTTAAAGTGTCCAAGAATGTCCTGAAGGGAGCTGAGACAGAACAGGAACGTGGCTTAGACACAGGAAGCTGAGCACCAGGTCAAGCCTGAGAGCTGGGTCCATACTCTAAACATCCTTCCTCACCAGCTCATCCTCCTCTTCCTCCTCACTGGAAGCAGCAGGGGCTTTGGCAGGAGGTGGGGTCTGTAAAAATGGCTCTTCTCCATTTTCCTCACCGACTTCCCCCGTCAGACTGAAAGAGCAGCAGAGGGAGAGAACGGTCTGTTCACAGAGACCAGCTGATGCCTGCAGACATCCAGGAACACACGCTGCACATTATCGGCACAGCGTCCAGATGAGGCCCCACCCTTCCTGACAGCAATGAGCTCAAGTTGAGCTGATTTCACTGAACATTTAGGAAATGTGAGCAACACTTCCTGGACTCACCTGGTGTCCTCTTCAGAACTGTTCTCAGGAGCACTGGGTGGTGGTGGTGGGTTGACTGGTGGTCCAAAGGCTCTCTGAGAAGAAGCAGATTTCTCTTCAACATTCTGTGTTTCTTCCAGACTCTTCATGTCCCCTTCACTGCTCACTGCTCCATGTGCTTCCTGACCGCCCTCGACCTGTGGACACTTCTCCGGTCCATCATCAGGATCCATAGAGCTGGTTGAAACTCTGTCTTCTGTAGCTGGGTCAGGAGAAGAGAGTTGGTCTGGTCCTCCTGCAGTCTTTGTGTTGTGGGCCGGAAGGTGAGAAGTTAAGGCTGGTTGAGGATCATCAACCTGTGAGGCCTCTGCCTGACCTGGTGTCTCTGACTCCATCACTGCCTCCTCCTCCTCGTCTTTTACTTCCTCAATCATCTGGGCCTCGCTGACTCCATGCCAGTCTGAGTCAGCCACATGTTCCTCCTCCTCCTCCTCTTCTCTCACTTCTCTCTTTCCATTAGCATGTACGTGATGAGATCCGTCCTCACTTTGTTTCACATCCTCAGGTTCTTCTTTGTTCTCCTTGGCAGCTGGTCTGTGCAAGGACCTCTCTGTGCCACTCAGCAAATTCAGAGTTACATTCTGAAATAAACAAATATCAGCTGCTGAGTGTTACACTGAAATGTCACATTTTAGATGGTTTCTGATATAAAAGAGCAGAGTTCATGCTTAAATCTATCCATTAAAAAAGAGTAACCTTGATGGTAGCAACAATGACCCCCAGCACAGCCTGACCACTGTAGGATTCACTGAGCTCAAACTCTGCTCGCAGGGAGTGAAACACTCCGTTCATCACCCGCTTCACCTGCAACAACACAAAATCACGTCCAGCCCTCCAACATGCATGTCAACATCAAAGCACCGGCGTGCTGTACTGTCAGAGTCATGCTCACGGAGACTCGCACCTCGGCTGCAGCGTCTCTTGAGCTCTCGGACTTTTCCACTTTCCTCTGCAGCTCGGCAACTCTTCCTTCCAGTTTCTCTCTTACAGCAGTTCCCTGTTGCTCCAAGGCTAAGTACTGAGAGACGCAGAGTTAGAACTTGATGGATTTAGAAGCTTTTTTTTCAAACAATATGCAAAACATGTTAGGACTAGTTTCAATAAAACACGAAGGTGTAGGGTGGCTATCCGAGGTGTAACGGCACACCTGCTTCAGTATGTAGGTCACTGTTTGGTACAACAGGAAAAAAGAAACAAATGCCAAAAATTTTTTTTTAAACACGTACTAAGTGTCCCAGAATCAGAGTATTTAGAAAATAAATTTTCCAGATGCTTATGCCTCCTGAGAGTCGTAAAGAACTTGAGCACAGCTTGTAAACAGGTAGCTCCTCGCTCTGGGTCAGGACTGTTCAACTTCACAAATCACTGGGAGTTTGAGCAATAATAATTTCCTGCTGCTAAAAAGCAAAGAATCAGTCCATCCATTTTCTTTATCTGCTTGTTCTTTCTGAGTCAGCGGAGCTGAAGCTTGACTCCAGCAGTCAGTGTGAGAGGCAGAGTTCACCCTGATGGACGCGTTTGTAGCTGAATTATCACCACACAGAGCCAAACGTCTTACAATGTTGCATGAAATAGCACTTTATGTTTGTTTCAAGGTTTAAAACCAGCCATTAGGGAGCATACACCAGTGTAACTCTTGTGCCAGTCCCAAGCCCGGGTAAATGGTGAGGGTTGTGTCAGGAAGGGCATCCGACATAAAACACTTTTGCCAGAATTATAATGCAAGTTCATCAAAGCGAAACCATACCGGATTGGTCGAGGCCCGGGTTAACAACGACCGCCACCGCCGGAAATTGTGTTACTGTTAGTCGAAGACCACGAGGAGGGACACGTGTCAGGAGACAGAGGAAAGTGAAGAATGTAGGACTGAGGGTTGCAACTCTAAATGTGTGGACAATGACAGGTAAAGGTAGAGAGCTGACTGGCATGATGCTGAGAAGGAAGGTAGATGTTTTATGTGTCCAAGAGACCAAGTGGAAGGGCAGCAAGGCTCGCAGCATTGGAGCAGGGTTCAAACTGTTTTACCATGGTGTGGATAGAAAGAGAAATGGAGTAGGGGTGGTCCTGAAGGAGGAGTTGGTAAAGAATGTAGTAGAGGTGAAAAGAGTGTCAGATAGAGTGATGTGTCTGAAGGTAGAAGTAGAAGGTCTGATGCTAAACATAGTCAGCGGTTATGCTCCACAGGTTGGGTGTGATGAGGAGGAGAAAAATCTGGATGAAGTGATAGAGAGTATTCCCAGGGAGGAGAGAGTGGTGATGGGAGCAGACCTGAATGGACATGTTGGTGAAGGAAACAGAGGGGGTGAGGAATTGATGGGTAGGTTTGGTGTCAAGGAAAGAAACCAGGAAGAACAGATGGTGGTGGATTTTACCAAGAGAATGGAAATTGTTAAAGACGTCAGCTGGCTGCGGGCCACCGGATCCAGAAACCCCCCTCCAGCCTACATCCTTACCCCCGGCTCAAACCTTCCTCAGAAGTGGCAACTATGCTAATCAATAAATCAAGGAAACATCATTTAAGTTTTATCAATTGTAGTGAACTAAGCCTCAGGTCAGGTTCCTGACCCTGAGGGCCTTCCTGGGACAAGAACTGTTATTTCATTGATTTGAGTCCAGAAACACAAATTAAGCTCATCCAGAGACTTTCTAAGTGTGTCCTGCTCTGATCAATTGAAAGAACACTCTCTTTTTTATTATCATTACTATTTTACAATATCTTGATAATCAAAGTGTGTTTAGTTCAAACCATTTTAAATGTTGAAGTGAACTACTCATTTTAAATCAACTGTGAAACAGTATAAATGATTTTTAATCCTCATTCAAAGTAGAAGTCAAGTTAATGTCTGTTACAAGAGTAATTATGCATTTTTTGATCTTCTGTCTGAAATGAGCAAGTTGTGATGTCGGTCAAAAATCGGAGACAAACGCAAACAAGTTTATTGGAACGAACTGTCATGTTTTTAAATCCTCTCAGACAGAAACAGAGGAGCTGGCACCTGCTTTCTGTCATCTCGCCTAAACATTTCTCTGTCTGTTTCAAAAACATTTTTCTGTCTGTTCCAAAACATCTCACTGTTTTTCTGACTTCTAGTGACCTCTTGCGTCACTAAAACCACACCCCTGATTGGCTCTTTCAGCCAATCAGGACTTCCCAAATGAACCGGAAACAGAACTCTTTAAATGTCGACACTTCCTAGTTCCAAACAGTTCAGTTCGGAGAGCAGAACCGAACAGAAAAGTTGCTGGAGAGAACAAGAAGTTCCAGACATGATCCGAAGTTCTTCCGAGTCTCGTGGGGATTATGGAATCTTCCACATCTGAGTGGAACCTCTGACGGACTCACAGCTCATGTGAGTCCACCCGTGAGTTGAGCGTGCTGTTGAACGAAGTACCGTCACTACTCCGGACGGTTCTCTGCTATCCTACGGAGACGCTAAAATGGTAACGTTGAAAGAGAACTCTACACCGACGCCGAGATATCTTCTGCCAGGTAAAGAGTCGATTTTCACTACCGAAGTGTACCGAGGTAGAGCTGGGTTCGAATGGAGGGTGCCGTTCTTCGTCGACACATTTTCCCTCACACATCTTTTCTCTCCATTTAAACTCCTTCATTTCCCATCTTTAAAACTCTTCTATCTTGCCAGTAAATCACCCAGATATTTTCATAAATGTCTGTTGTAATTAGCTGCAAGTGAGATACCATGGCCGTATGGTTCTCATTGTAAAGCTCATTAATTAAGCTGTGTTATTGCGTACAATCAGAATAATCACGTGTACAATGTTTGATGTTAAATTTTGATCGTTTTTAATTAAACGGCTCACTGTTGTTGGTGAGTCAGAAATTAAAACACGTTTCCATCCACATTTAATCATTCAAGGCACGATAGTACTCAGTCCAGAAAAATGAAAGAATCCGTTTAAATTATGAATAATATCAGAGACAGATATAGTTCATTACACAATTATATTAGAAAAAGGCAGTAAAAGATTACAATTTACAGCGCTGGACTCTATTCAGTCTGTGACGCGTTCACAGACCTGGAAGAAGAGCTCCGATGTCTCGTGTCATCATTAATTTATAGGGCCCTAGACTCCGCCTTTCGCAGAAGGGGGAGCTCAACTTGTCAGTGTATGAGGGGGCGGGACTAAGTGTGGTCTTATGTGTACTGACGTGTAAGGAAAACATGAGACGGTGCTTTAAAGCCTTTTCTACGTGATGTGGCAAGCTGATTAAACTATTTTTTGACAGATATTGAATTATCAGGGAGACTCTCTTAACACTAGGACTCCCAGCATTTTCAAATGACTCCTTCTTCTACCAGAGACTGCCAAATGGCAGTTGGAGTAATTTGCATCCCATTACACCATCTTTTGTTGTGTACAGGTAATGCTGTCCCAGGCAAATGCTAAACGGGGGGGATTTGCTGGCCCAATTTAACCGTCAGAACAGAGTCGTAATTTCATTATAATCCCGTCTCTGAGCAGATCAAAACATAGGACCAGTCTAAATGTTGGCTGTTGTCAAGACTTATATCCAAAAGATGGAAGAACATAGAGTGGCCTTTAAGAGTGGAGGAAAGAGTACGCAGGTCGACTACATTCTGTGTAGAAGAGGAAATCTGAGGGAGATTGGAGACTGTAAGGTTGTGGCAGGGGAGAGTGAGGCCAGACAGCATTGGATGGTTGTGTGTAGAATGACTGTTGTTGTGAAGAAGAGAAAAAGAGTAAAATCAGAGAAGAAGACCAAATGGTGGAAGATGAAGAAGGAAGAATGTTGTGAGAAATTCAGAGAGGAGCTGCTAAAGGCTCTGGGTAGTAAGAAAGAGCTTCCAGATGACTGGACTACTACAGCAACAGTAGTTAGCGAGACAGGTAGGTTGGTACTTTGTGTGTCATCTGGACAGAGAATGGATGATAAGGAAACCTGGTGGTGGAATAGTGAAGTGCAGGACGCTGCTCAAAGAAAGAGGTTAGCCAAGAAGAAATATGACAGAGAGAGGACTGAAGAGAGGAGACAGGAATATACAGTAAGGAGATGGGACGTAGAGCAAAGAGGGAGGTGGCTAAGACAAAGCAGAAGGTGTTTGATGAGTTGTATGAGAGGCTGGATACTTAAGCCCCCAGTATACTCCCGTGTACGTCCATACGCAGAGGTACGAGCGTACTCCCCAGGGCATGTCTGTGCAAAGCTCAAATTTTACGACCGCATACGCGTACGCGGTGTCGCACAATAAACTGCCCAGTGACGGACTGTTTTGTATGCGACACCAATGTATTAAATTCCTCTTCTTCATCTCTGATCTGGCCTTTTCTTTTGTTTTTTTGCCAAGAGGCAGTGATCTCTTCCTCCTCCGTTGATGCCATGACTGAAATGGTGAGAAATGAAGGAATTTGTCACGAGAGAATTAAACTCAGGTCCAGCGTGGCTGTGGGAGGTCTGGAGATTTCCTGGTGGGCTGGTCTGATGTGTGGGCTGTAGAGCCAGCGCTCCCTGTTTTTTTTTGTTTTAAAAAATATATATATTTTTATAAACAACATATAAACACAGAACACCGCTGTGGCAGAGGCTGCCAGCACTAGTTTTTTTTTCTTTTTTCTGACCTGTCAATCAATCCAGTAGGCGTGTCAGCAAATGACCAATCGGCGACCTCAATTTGTCCCGAAGGTAAATGCCCCTTGTCTGTGAAGCTGCTCTGCAGCTGCTCAGGGTGGACGCTTGAGTACGAAGTCTGAACCCTCTGCGTACAGTACACACGTACGTACGCATGAATGGACGTACGCGGGAGGATATACTGGGAGCTTAAAGAGGGTGAGAAGGACTTGTACCAATAGGCGAGACATATGCCCCTTTTGCACCGCTCCTACTCAGCCCCAACTCTGCTCAGCCCACCACAGAAAGAACCCTTTTGCACAGTACTTTTTAGCTGATTTTTAGCTGATTTGAGGCTGATTCAGAACCTTTTTTCGTCCCCGTTTCTCTGATGTCCCGAGTGAGCTGAGCCGAGCTGACTCTGGACC